GCGTTAATATAGTAGAGAAACTGAATATGTCCAGAACATGTCCACTTTCTGTTCAGTTTTTCTTATTTATCTCAAAACTAGATAGGTAGGACATATTCAGTTTCTGCATTGACGTATTCAATTGTTTTAGTTATTTATTTTTCTCTATCACCCGACTGTAGGAAAAACGTAATTACATAAAATTATACTGATAAACAATTGAAAATCATCATTTATAAAAAGTTTGGTAAGAAAATCCTGAAAAATTTCATAAAATGTCAATGTAAACGCTTTATATCTCAACAAATATCAATCTTAGCGATTCAACTGATAAAAAAATCAAAGTTTTCGTGCATTTTAAGTGGGAAATCTTTATTCGCTTTGGGAGAGTACTTAGAGTTAATATCTTAGGCTCAAATTTTCAGGGAATTTAAAAAAAAAATAAAAATAGATGTGAAAAAAAAGCACCCTAATGTATACATACATATATTATTTATTAAATTATAAAAAATTGGTAAATGCAAAAAAATGATACCCTAAATACCCAAATAGACTGTGGGCGTGACATCCAGAAATTTTTTTGTCAGCGCCACTGAAAACTATGTTAATTTTTCAAAATAATTTTGTCAATTTGATCAAGGAATCCATTTGTGATGTTAATTTTAACCAAAGACCCTCAGAAGAGGACGCTATCAAAAAATTGTTGCTACTTTTTACTATTTTTGAAGGTGAGTAATCCATTTTTGTCATCCGTTTGTTGTAAAATATACCCTAGGGGATATTCGAAAGCAATTTTTAATATTTTTATTTATTAGTATAGAAAACTTGTTTTTTTAAAGAAAAAATAGTATTTTTACTTCTTAAACTAAACATTATTAAATTCGCTATTTTATTTTTATTTAAAAACAATTACTGCTGTAACCAGCAGTAACACGAGTTAAAGTACCAGAAGTTGATAAAAATGCAAAATATAATCAATATAATCAAAAATACGAATAGAGGATCCATGTTTTAATATATAAATAAAAAAAAATACCTGAATTATACCACAACATTGAAACACCAAATTTCATTGACTTCTTTTTCTTTTGTGACCATTTAAATTAAATTGTTATTACAAGTTCTGCAAACTTTTCAACATATTCAATTATATGTATTCCGTAATATTGTAGGTACAATTGTTTTACATTTTCATATTTTCCCGATAAAAAAAGATTGTATATAATTGTATATAATTATATAAAAAAAAATGGCCCGATATAATTGGATAGAATTCTATACAATTATATAGAAGTATATATAATTATATAAGAAAACCGACTCGATATAATTATATAGAATTCTATACAATTATATATAATCATATATTATTATATTCCTGCAAAAAGTCACCAACTGAAATTTTGTAAAAATCTTAAAGTTTAAATTTACTAACCAAATTTACCTTATCTTTAATGTATAAAAGTCAGTAAGTGCTTTAAGCATTATATGCATATGTGACTTATACATTAAAGATATGGTTATTTGGATATATAAACAACAATCCACACAACTATGTTTTTTAAGATTTTCACAAAATGACAGTTAGTGACTTTATGCAGGAATATAAAAATATAATGTCATCAAAACCTGCTCACCATTATTATTGGAGCTACAAAGTCGGTTAAATTAGCAAATTAGTGGTATTTTTACAGAAAAACAATTGAACATCGGGTTTCCGAAGTTATTAAAAAAATAACATTTTTTTTAATGGGACACCCTGTATATTTTTACATATTTTGAAAGAAAATATGAAACAAAAAATTATTATAGCATTACTACCCTAAACTTAAAAATACACAATTAATAAGCACTGGAACTTTCTAATGGTTATGAATGCGTTCCACCAACTTCAAATACCGACAGACAGCTGTTTCGACCTTTATTGGGTCTCATCAGTGTCGGGCAATTTGGTGTAGTGGAACACAATCAAAACAAATTACTCCCTAAGCTTATATGCTCGGTTGTTAAGTCAACAGAGGCGAGATGTAAGAACATCAGGTGATCCACACCGTCAAACGACGTGGCCTTTGCCGCAATCGGTACATACTATGCAACCGGGACTGCACACAGCAATTGTATCACAGATACTAATATGGCCTAAAGGAATCTAGAATTAACCCCCTTACATCTCGCCTCTGTTGACTTAACAACCGAGCATATAAGCTTAGGGAGTAATTTGTTTTGATTGTGTTCCACTACACCAAATTGCCCGACACTGATGAGACCCAATAAAGGTCGAAACAGCTGTTTGTCGGTATTTGAAGTTGGTGGAACGCATTCAAAACAAAAAACTTTGGCGAGGTGTAGGTTCAATTTTTTCTTATGAATATTACCAGTGATGGGTCAAGAAAGTTTCTTAAAGAAACTAAGAAAATTGAATGTTTCTAATGGTTGTTGAAATATCCAAATTATAACAATCAGTCAAGCAAAATAGTTTTATTTAAGCTTTAACTTGAAGAGAACACTATAATATAACAAACACACTTTATGAAGAATACGATATCTAGATTCACGCCACAGAAAAAGAATTTCTTCTAACAAAAGGCGACAAAGAACACCAAAACACGCCATCTTAGCTTTCTCTAAAACACTCCAGTGTTACCACCATAACGTATGGCGGCAAATTAACACAAACTATTAAATGAGTACAGATTGCGTTTGTAATTAAATTTTTAAGGTTAACTGACGCTTACTACCCTATTTATTGTTTAGAGACCTAGATTTCTGCGCATGCGTATTAAGTTTGCTGCTATCCAGTTGTATTTTGTGGTCATATAACAAATACACAAAATGTAATCTTGTTCTTCTACTCCCACTTCCACTCCCAGTATCGTTCATGTTTCCAAAATATTTTAAATACACATTTACAAGTTGTTACTTTATGGCGTTTTAGTCAAGGGCTGAAATTTTAATTAAAATTCTACTTGCGAATCTTCACCAAAAATAAATCGATTTATAAGAATTATTATCACTTACCCACATAATATTAAATAATCCTTACTTTTTTTGTAATCAAAATCCTTAACCAATTGAAAATATTTTTTTTAATTACGTCATTATCCAGGTATTTGGATAATTTTCTTAAATTATATATAATTGTATATAATTATAAACAATTTTATAAGGTCAATTAAAAAAAACTTATATATATATTTATAAAATTGTATAGAATTATATACAATTTTAAATACCTTAAAAGAGACTTATATATAATTATATAGAATTGTATATAATCATATAAAATTATAAACAATTTAAAATACCTTAAAAGAGACCTATATATAATTTTGTAGAATTGTATATAATTATATAGAATTGTATATGATACTATATAATTATATAGACACTTCAATAGGGTCTCATATATAATTATATATAATTGGAAATTATTTTACATAATTGTATATAATTATATAAATTCCATATTTTTAAAAAAATATTTTATATAGAATTATGTATAATTGTATATCATTATATATAAACTTTATATAATTATATATGAATTATATATAACTCTATATACATTTTATATAATGATATACAACTATATAAAATCTTTTTTTATCGGGTTGGAACTAAGTTTTGTTTTATATTATATTGTCCACATAAATAAAAAAAAATTAATTAAATATATTAATTAAGAAGAACGTTTTATGTTGTTGTCACTGATTTACTATATACATATGTGTTTTTAAGTAAACAAATTAATTTTACCTTTAAACAACGTCGTTTTTGTTACAAAAACTAGAATTGTTTGTAGTAATAATATTTTTGCAAAAGGGCGAATACGCCAAATTTACGATTTTGAGCTTTATGCACGAAACAATATTTTTTGTTTTAAAGTCTGTGTCAAACCATATATAACCTGTAGGGTTTATAATAAATAAATAGATATAATTATAAGCTATTTATCTGTTATAAAACCTTTAGACTATATTTAATTTAAAACATATTTTAAAACAATTTTTTTTTTCAATTACCGAAATTTCAGTTATGTTGCTTGCGATACTTTGGCAGAAAGTCATCGATATTACAATATATTACCACAAAAAATTGTAGTTTTTGTATACAAGTATTGTTTTTAAGTATAAATAAATTTAAGTATTTAACATATGTTTTTTGATTAAACCATTAAAGAGAATATTTTTTTATAAAAATGCCAAATTTTCTAGTAAAAATGCTCTTTACTTGGAATGGATTCCTCGACTATATTGCCAGAATAATTGAAAAAAATTAAAATTGTTTTACTTCTTTTTTCCTACTATAGGGTGTCCAAAAATCTACCAACTTTAAATGAGTATAATAAAAAACTGAGACGTGATCTAAAAAAAACCTAATAGGGTTTTGTTGTAGAAGCTATTACCTTTCATTTGCTTTTGGTTTCATCCCATTCCCTTTTGCACTATTGCACTGTGTGATGAAAATATTTAAAATTAGGCACAATTTAGTCACTTACTTACCTACATAATGTAAAAGAGGATGCATTGAAAAAAATTCAAGAAATGTTTTTTCAATGCAACCTTTTATACATTATAATATAATGTAATTACATTTTATAAATAACATTTCTGCCGAATTTAAATTTTTTCATAAATTATTACCAAACTTATAAATTTTAATTTCAAAAAATACATGTATTTTTTCATTGAAAGGTTTGACTGCGATGGTGGCCAGGTTAAAATTAATATTGAGGGCTGAAACTTGGCATAATTTTTTTTATTTATACTTAACCGATTAGAACCACCCCCAAAAAAAAAAATCAAAAAATAGTAGTTTAAATTTAAGCGGGAAGAATAATGAAAAAAAAAATGCTAAGGTTATGAAATAGCTTTATTACAGTAAGTACACAATTATTATTACAGCTCTAAGAGAGTTGTATTATAATAGTTAATCTTTCAAGATGGCGACAGTAGCAGACGTTACCTACTTGAATAGTGTTTTAAAAAGGCTTACCAAAGAAGATCTAATCTCAATCATAGTGACAAAGGCTGTTCCGATAATAAGCACCACGGGGATAACTGAAGGAATGGTGGAAAAACTCAAAGAAAACATTGGATTGCACTTTGGACGTGTAGAGGCCATTGACCTTGAGGTAAAACCACCTAATAACAGAAATGGCATCAAAGAGCATGGCGAAATATTAACAAAAATGCTTAAACAACTCGAAGATCGGGTGGAAGAGCAATCTCAGGTAATAAAGCACCTGATTTCGCAAAATAGTACAAGAAGTGAGGTTAACACTACACCACCTTCTTCTTCTTCTTCTATATCCATAGACAAGCGAGCGGACAACAGTGTAAAATTTAAAAGTAGTTCAAGTGTTCTAAGTAAATCTGGCAACACCGCTGGTAATAAGAACAAGACAGAAGAACAACAAACTGTCAAAAATAAAAATGAAGTTAAAAGTAAACAAAATGGTATTTATCCAAATATTATAAAAGGAACTGCCGAAATTGCAGAAGAAGATAAATTTAAGGCAACGCCAAAAAAAGCTTGGCTCTATATTGGCAGGGCACAACCAAACACATGTGAGAAAAGATTAACAAACTACCTGAAAAAAAAGTTTCCAGCAGAAACTTTTGAAGTAGAAGAACTAAAAAAGCATGAAAATAATACAAACAAAAATAAGTCTTTCAGGATTGGCTTTGATTTTGACTTATTGAAGTTAGTCTTAAAGCCCGAGGTTTAAACCAATTGGCCTAGAAATCTTATTGTACGGAAATATACCTTTCGAAAACAAAGGGAATCTGAATTGTAAATTACTTAATATGCTAAATTTAAACATCCAGTCCATAGTAACAAAAGTGGATCAGCTACAACTGATAGCATCTGAAAATAAGCTAGATGTCATGTGCATTACAGAACACTGGCTAGACAACAATCAAGTCCAACAAATGAAATTGGAAAGTTATAAAATTGTAAGTTTGTTATATATTTGAATATTTATACTTTAGTTTATATTAAGTTGGTAGTACTTGTACAATCTAGTTACTTTTGAATGGTTGCTATAGACGATAGATAACAAAGCTCTTGACATGTAAATTTGTATTCCTGAATCTAGAAATATATTTAGTTAGTTAAATAAAACGATGTTTTATTTATAGTGCTTCTTGTAAAGTATAAAACATGGTGTCAGGTGTGTTTTAAGTGGAAAATCGAATAAAAAACTCTTGTAAGAAAACAACGTGCCAGAACCCTCTAGTGACTTACGTGTCAGAACCCTCTAGTAAAAGAAAAATGGAGTTTAAAGCACCAGAATATTTAAACTCAAATGATCCTGCACAGTGGCAGAAATGGAAACAAAAATTCGAAATATTTTTGACTGCTTCAGGAAAAGAATCCTCTAGTGAAGAAGTAAAAATAGCAATATTTTTAAATATTATGGGAGATTCTGGAATTGATATTTATAACACTCTGGTAGATGATCAAAAGAAAACTCTCGATGGAATAAAGAAAGCATTTGATGAATATTTTATACCGAAGAAAAATGTTACGATGGAAAAATTTAAATTTAATAATATAGTACAAACACCCGACCAGAATATCGAATCCTTTTTGACAGAACTCAAAGCACAAGCAGCCCAATGTGATTTTAACTGTGGAAATGATAAATGTCTAAAATCCTACATGGAACGAATGATCAGAGACAGATTAATTCTAGGAATATCTGATAAAACCATACAACAAAAATTAATAAGAGAAACAAGTATTGACATAAATAAGATAATAGAATATTGCAAATCTATAGAAATAAGTAAAGAACATATAAAGCTATTATTAAACAGAATTTTAAAATCAAAACTCCCTACCTCGGAAAATGCCTTAAAGAATGAACTCATTGATTCTGAAGTAATTAATAAAAAATTTGAAAATAAACTTTCAAACCAAAAATTTTATTATGATAAAAATGCAAAAAACTTGCCTGAATTGCAAATAAATGATAAGGTATTATTTAGGAAAAATAATTCTTGGGAAAAGGGGATAATAATAGATAGGTGTAACAAAAGGTCATACATTGTTAAAGATCAAAACGGTAATGAATTTAGGCGGAACAGAAAATTAATTAATAAAACTAGTTTAGAAATCAATATCTATGATGATGATTTTTATGAATTAGATGCCCTTTTTCCTAATGAAACGAATCACCCTGATAATGAGTTAGAACCTGATAATGACTTAGAACCTGATGATGACGAAACGGCGAACGAAAATTTTGAAAGTTTATCTGATGACTCGCATAGTTTACAGACCACGTTCAGAGGTCGAGTTATTAAAACTCCCTCTTATTTAAAAGATTATCATACTGATTAGATTTAGGTTAATTTAAGTAAATGTGAACCTTGTTTTGACATTAAGATTTGTAAAACAAATTATTTTTACAATGTTAAAAAAGGGGCGTGTTATATATTTGAATATTTATACTTTAGTTTATATTAAGTTGGTAGTACTTGTACAATCTAGTTACTTTTGAATGGTTGCTATAGACGATAGATAACAAAGCTCTTGACCAGTGGCGGCTGGTGGATTTTAAGTATACCAATATCTCAGTTATTAGACATGGGACCCACACCAAATTTATAATAGTTTATATTGACATTAAATAAACAAGTTCGGCGCAAACAGAATTTAAATTGAAGTTTGCGAAAAAAAGTTAGTTTTTCCTGTCGCCTACCTTGCCTCCAGGCCCCCCTATTTGAGATAATTCAAATTAAAGTGGTGCAATTTATTAGCCACTATAATTTATCGACAAATTTAAAATTTTATTTAAAAAATCCAAATATTACAGTTTTTATACCATTTTAAATATTTTTTTATTTTAATAAAATAAATAATAAAATTTTAAAATCAAATAAAATCTGTAATATTTGGATTTTTTGAATAAAATTTTAAATTTGTCGATAAATTATAGTAGATAATAAATTGCACCACTTTAATTTGAATTATCTCAAATAGGGGGCCTGGAGGCAGGGTAGGCGACAGGAAAAACTAACTTTTTTTCGCAAACTTCAATTTAAATTCTGTTTGCGCCGAACTTGTTTATTTAATGTCAATATAAACTATTATAAATTTGGTGTGGGTCCCATGTCTAATAACTGAGATATTGGTATACTTAAAATCCACCAGCCGCCACTGCTCTTGACATGTAAATTTGTATTCCTGAATCTAGAAATATATTTAGTTAGTTAAATAAAACGATGTTTTATTTATAGTGCTTCTTGTAAAGTATAAAACAAAGTTATTTTTCAAGAAAGAACAATAAACATGGTGGAGTTATGATTGCAATAAAAAACCAAATCATAGCAAGTGAAATTGAAGCAATTAAATCATTTTCTGTAGAGAAAGACATAGAGGCAGCTGGGATAATTATTACAAGCATAAATATTATTATAATAACAATATATCGAGCACCCAGTGGAAACCATGATACTTTTATTTTTCAAATGAAGTTAATCCTGGAATTCTTAAATTCAAAATTTAAAGAAAAATATGTTATTGTAGCTGGTGACTTTAATATAAACTTTTTGATTAAAAGTAAAGAGCTAGTAAACTTTATAAACTTAATGGAAAGTTATGGTCTCCATACAACATTCAGAGAGCCTTCACGCATAAGTAAAACAACAAAAACTTGTATAGATAATGTATTTACAAATAAATATCATACACATAGTTTAACAAAGGAACTACACATATCAGATCACTTGGGCCAATTTGTATTCTTACCAAAAAGTGAAGAAAAACCTAAAAACATATGCAAAATAATAGAAAAAAGAATAATTAATGAAGAAAATACTTACCAACTAAAAAAGCAGTTACAAACTATAGATTGGGTAAACTATTTAAACAATAAGTCAGCTCCAGAGGCCTTTACAGCTTTTTATGATTTGCTTCTGGATAATATTAACAAATGTATGCCTATAATTAAGAAAAAGATTAAAACACATGTCGATAAAGTGACATGGAAAACAGAGGAATTAAATAAAATAAAAAATGAACTAGAAGCTTTATACACCATTTCACAGGTTATGAAAACTAATGAGTCAAATGTAGCGTACAACACATATAAACAATTTTATAAAAATGAGATTATAAGAATAAAAAAACAAAAAAATACTGAAATTATCTCAAAAGCTAACAATAAACAAAAAGCCATATGGAAAGTAATTAACAGAGAACAGAAGACCAAGGAAGATCAGTCCACAACTATTAAACCAACAGAACTAAATAATTTCTTTGCAAATGTTGGTAAAAACCTCTCTAGATACCTCAAGACAGATCCCAATCAAGCTATGAAACTTGTAGACAACCTAAAAGTAAATAATAACAAGTCTTTTTACTGGTTTGAATGTTCAGCTAAAGAGTTGCGAACAAATTTTAAATCCATTAAAGGAAAAAACACTGTGGATGAGCAATACAGTACAGTACAAACATTTTAAATAGTATATCTGAGGAAATCATCCCTCCCCTAACTCTCCTTGTAAATAAAATGTTTCATGACAGCTACTTTCCAAATGAATTAAAAAAAGCAAAGATTATTCCGATTTATAAGGGAAAAGGTAAGAAAGAAGACTGTGGGAATTATAGACCCATCTCCATCTTACCAGCCGTATCGAAAATATTTGAACTAGCAAAGCAAAGAATGGTAAAATTTTTAGAAAAAAAACAGTTTATTTTCAAAGGACCAACATGGGTATAGAGAAAAAAGAAGCACAATTTCAGCTCTCCTTACGGTTACAAACATCATAAGCAAAACTCTTGATAAGGGTGATAGTTTAAGCATGCTGAATCTAGACTTGAGTAAAGCTTTTGATTCTGTCCCACATGAAGTTCTTTTAAAAAAATTGAATTTTTATGGTTTTAGAGGATCAATGCTAGAACTTCTTAAATCATACTTGGACAATAGGACTCAATATGTGTCTACTAATGAAAGAATTTCACCTGAACTACCAATCAATTTTGGAGTTCCACAGGGCTCCATTCTAGGACCAATACTTTTCATTATATATATAAACGACTTTCAAGTAAAAAACAGCATAAACACTTGCTTGTATTGTGATGACACTTCATTATTAGTACCTGGAAAACAACTAGAAATCCAAAAACAAGTGCTAACAGAAGCAGAGACTTGGTTCACTGCTAATGGACTTAAAGTCAATAAGGACAAAACAGAAACACTTTACATTGGGCAAAAAAACGAAAATCACTGCGTCAAATTCTTGGGAATATTTGTAGACAACAGGCTGAGCTGGAATACGCACATTGAAAATACTTGCAACAAACTCTCCAAACAACTGTACTGTTTACGAAGGTTAAGAGACGTAGTTTCTATAGTCCTCAAAACAACATACTACTCAAATTTCCACAGTATCTTGGGCTATGGAATTTTAATATGGGGTAGAGCAAGTGAAGCTGAAAAACTCTTCAAACTACAAAAAAAAGCTTTGCGAACAATGTTTGGCTTGGGATCAAGAGAGTCCTGTAAAGGCATTTTTAGAGAACACAGAGTACTTACACTTACATCAATGTATATTTTGGAGGCCTTAAAGTATGTTCATGTCAACCTAGCACATTTTCCTAAAAATGGGGAACACCATGGTTTTAACACTAGGAACAAAGCCGCTCTAATGATACCACACCACTCCAAAAAATGTACGCAGCAATTTGTTGATTATTGGGGTACAAAACTCTTCA